GTTTTATTTTATCACTGTATTTTTTGCCATATTGGATCTACTGAGTGTATTTCTATTTTTTCTGTGTTTATTTGATATCTTATCCATTTTTCACAAAATTGTTCCATGTATAGATTGAATTCGAATGACCACTTAAATTTATTTAACAGTGACAACTCTTACTTAAAGGTCCAGTGTGTAAGATTTAGGTGAAAGGGAAATATTTGCAGAAATTTAATGTAGAATAATCCTCATGATGTTTTCACTAGTTCGTTCCATCTAAATTGTATGAATTGTACTTTTCTTTACCCCAGAAAAGGCCCTTTATATTTAAATACTTTATATTTACATCGAGGGGACCCTCTCTACGGAGGCCGCCTAGTTTTTTACATTAGTCCAGACTGAACAAACTAAACACCTTTTGAGTTTTTATGACAATTGAAGCTACCACAGGTTCTTTTTTGGAAGTGGAGGGTGAGGTGAGGGGTGTTCAGCTGCAACATGACACTCCAACACTAGATATCACAAAATTCTACACGCTGTAAATGATGTAAAATATATTTTATCTTTTATATCTTTCTCTTTAAATTAAACCCCCCCGATTTCCTTTTAATTAATATGTTCTGCACAATTTTCTTCACTGAGAGATGAAGCAGTCGACTCTTCATTTTCACTGAATTTATTCAGTTTGCACAGTGTTTTTCACTTAGACGTGTCACTGTTGCCTCTGATGTGACATAATTCTCAGCACAGACGTAGTCGGGGAGATTCGAATTAATCAGCATGTTGTTTTTTTCCCACAGCCCAGTCAACTTGACCTACGATGTCTTTGATGGGAAGGGGGACAGCACTCCCCTGGTGTTTCTTCACGGCCTTTTTGGCAGCAAATCTAACTTCCACTCAATAGCGAAGTCCTTGGTTCAGCGCACAGGCCGAAAGGTAATGCAGTGATGAAGACACCTGATGCTGGTCTGTTGTTACAACCAATTCTCCTTTGTGTTTGAGTTGTTTCTGAAGCAGCCCGACAATGGTCCTCTAACAAAAGCAGGCATTGTGTGTGTCTGTGTGTTTGTGTGTGTGTGTGTCTTTGTCTTGTCAGTCATTTGATACAACTCCCCGTCACTCTGTGCTGTTGTGATAAATACTGAGATAATCTGCTCTTTTGCTTCCTTAAAGAACCTCATCACCTCATGTGAACAATACAGCTTTTGTTTCTTGTGTCACTTTCCTGAGTCGCAGCCAAACATTTCTTTGTGTCCACCCTGTTGCTTCTTTCCCCCCTTTTCCAAGTGTCCTAACTGTCCTTTGACCAGTTAGGTGCTGACTGTAGATGCCCGCAACCATGGCAACAGCCCTCACAGCACGGTGTTGACCTACGAGGAGATGGCCAGCGATTTGAAACACCTCCTCGCTCAGCTGCACATCGAGAGGTGCGTCCTCATTGGCCACAGCATGGGAGGGAAGACGGCCATGACGACGGCCCTCACACAGGTTAGCAGTCGAGAAATGTCGGCATGAATTAATCATGACGCTACAGTCGCCTCGCTGGATGTCACCTAACCTTTGCCAAATCTGAAATTAATAATTCTCTGCTGCTCTCTTTGCAACACATTCCATTTTGTGGTTCTTCATTTTATATCCCTCTTTCTTTTTTTTCTTTTTTTACATGTTTACAATCTGTCTGTCTCTCTGCCTGTAGCCTGGTCTAGTTGAGCGGCTGGTGGTTGTGGACATCAGTCCAGCCCAGACCACCACACGCACCAACTTCCGTTATTACATCCAGGCCTTGCAGAAGGTGAAGATCTCCAGTGACATCCCACGTTCCACTGCCAGACGGATGGCTGAGGATCAGCTGCGCAGTTTAGTAAAGGTCAGGAACGTTTTTGATTGAGTTCAAAGCTCGCTATGAAAGTTAACCTGGGACACGCAACTTTATTTTGGCTTTATATGTGCTGTTTGACAATCTGTTTCCTTTATCTGAATGTTAACCTGCAGTAGCTAATTTTATAGCCACCTGGGGGCAGCAAGGATAAGTTGTGATAATTTGACACGGCTGTGAACTTCTCGAAGTAAAGTTGATGTGACTCTGTAGCTGCAAATTCTGATCCTGAAAACTGTCCTTCTGTTAATCAGGAGCGCTCAGTGCGTCAGTTCCTTCTGACTAACCTCGTGGAGCAGAACGGACACTATGCTTGGAGGGTCAACTTGGAGGCCATCTCGGAGCACCTTGATAACATCATGAGTTTCCCCAGCTTTAACACAGTCTATGAGGGACCTACGCTGTTTCTGGGTGGAGCCAGTTCTGCTTATATCAGGTATAAACAGACCTTTTATTTTGTATGTATTTTACAAATCATAGAATTGGCCTTAACTTTGCTTTTCATTAGAAAACAATTAAAGGTAATATATTAGTGACAGTCTTGGTGTATATCTCTTCTTTAATTTGAATTGACAACGGATTTGTTTTGTACATAAGGGCTCAGTCTACTGTTACTCTTCCTTCTGTCTCTTTTACTTCTTTACCATTTCATCTTACCAGATATTCTTTTCCTCCTCCGTCTTGTCTTCCCCCTTGATCCAGCTCCGACGATTACCCAGAAATCCAGAGGCTGTTCCCTATGGCTGACATCCAGTACATCCCAGACGCCAGCCACTGGATCCACGCAGATAAACCATTAGACTTCATCAGCTCCATCAGCTCCTTCCTGCAGTCCTAGCTGCCTCCTGTCAACAACTCAGAACTTTTTCTTTTAACGCTCTGCGCCTCAGAGCGCCCGCTCACCGAAACGAAGGTGAGAATTCAGCAGCTTCGGCGAGAGCGGGCGGAATCAATGATAATGCTAATATCTGCAAACACTGGACCAAAACTTTTACAGCTGTCAGTTCTTTGCCCAGTGTCAAATGATGTGTAGTGTAGCGTCATGTAGGCAAACGTTTAGTGTTACCAGATTGGCTGGTCTCTAGGTTTTTAGATCCGTCGGAAGACAATAACAAGGAAAGTGTGTTGAATTTAACATATTTAACATAATGGGGCTGTTTTGGAGGTGATACTAATCCAAAGAAACTCTCATTTGCACAGTGCTTTCTTTTGTTTTGAATCATTTATGCCAGTATAAAAAGAAAAGTGGATTTAGACCAAGTACAATCTGGGACGACTGAAGTGGACCAGCAGCGAGACAGTTGCATAAAGGTTGAGGAGCTCTTCTGCGAGAGAGTTGAAGGCGGAGTTTGGTATCGTGTGTCAGGAGGTTTGAGCTCTTCAATGAGCCTGTAATACAGACTTGATGATGTTTTATTGTAGAAATGTAATTATAGTGATATATTCAGGATTTTTAATTCTGTGGGTGGTTTTCCTGTCTTTATTAGAGTGTGGTCTTTTAGATTGAGAGCAGCACTTCTTGATTTCACATTCAGATTTTGCGTTTAGATTACCTGCTCTCCAGCTTCAGCTCAAACTGAAAGACCACACTAGTTAATAAAGACAGAGGAAACAAAACCCCTTCTACTCCTTTGTGTGTCTGCCGAATGTGAGAGATGAGAATATTACAGGTCGCTTGCTCTGACTCAACCCGAGCTTATCGAGAGCACTGATTATATTTTAAATGGCTACGTAACCATCTATGAAAACCAAGCTGAAATGCTCAGAAGCATTAATGTCACAATCTGTCTCCTGAATATCTCAGGTTACAACTGGATATGCTACTTATTATACTCTTAAACTATTCTGTATGTGTGGCGGTACGCTGTGGTAAAGTTGTTGTGTCTCTGTATTTGTTCAGTCCGATCCGTGTTTTGATGAAACATATTTTACTGATTTATTAACTGTATCTCTCTTTATCTTTACAACTAAGGCGCAAAGCTATATGGGTAATATCCCACAGATATATGCTGCAACTATGTACGTCGTTATAGTATCCTAACAGTGTTCGTCTCTTCTGTTTCAGTTGGTTTGAACAGTCCAGTAGTAAAACTGCCATCAGTATGAATAAGCAGGGTGTTGTAAATTTGTACGTGCCTCTTTTGTCGAGAGCTACTTTTTCCATTTCTCTAAAACTTGATAAAGAGAAAACATTTTATTTTACAATGTTAACTATCAGGCATTAGATTGGCAGCTGGGTTGCCAGTTCTGTGTGAATTTTTCACAAGGAGGCCTAACAAGTGAGGGTGCATTCCTTCACAACGTTAGACATTTGCTGCAGTTGATGTTAAATGTGAACATGAAAGTCTATTAGGCTTTGAATCATCCGAATGACGTTGAGTGAAAATCCCCATTTCTTTTTTTAAAGCTCCAGTTAGTGGAGAAACACCCCTTCACCCTCCTCAGCCGCAGCAGTGGGGGGTCGGTGGTCGTGCTGACATTTGAATGCACATCCTGCTTCAGCGTCTGTAGCGTTAAAGTGGGACGAGAACATGTGAAAGAGGAACTTGTGTCAGCAATATAGAAAAATAAATGAATTCAGTAACATGAAACAGTTTGAAGACTGTAATCGTGTGTTTAGGATTGTATATCGTGCGCATGCCTTCTCTATTGTCATCAGCTGTGACTTTGCTGTGCTGTGTACGTCTCAGTTTGTTTCACATTAATTGCATATATACATTTTATTATGTACAAGATGCTTATAGGAGTGGATTATATATATATATATATATACACATATATATATATATATATATTATCATAAATGTACAAATGATATTCTACAATAAAATGGCAAATATCTGCAACAAAGTTTATTTTCTTCTGAATATTGAAAAAGCAGAAAGCAAAAGTGCAGAGAACAAAGGATCAGAGTTGATATGGTGACAGATTCTTACAAAATAAACTCTAGTGTCACTCACAAAGAGATTTCCTATGAGAAGTTAATATACAGAACAACAATATTTAGGAGATAGTGTAAAGTGTTCAAGTGTTAACAGTATTAAACAGATACATGGCTCATTTTAAATATGTACACATTACATTAGTCAAAGATCTAAAGCATTTGTTCCCAGTTAGTTTGTGTTCGATTATGTTTTTCTAACTTCTCTTAAAATGTTCCTCCTTCAATAAAAGAATAAAATGCACAATGTATGAAAATGTAAGTATTGTTCATCTCAAAAGGTAATAGATGAACTCTGTGTCCAGGTGTGTTTGCACTGGAGATTTTTAGTCTTCACATAAGCTGCCTCCAAACAAGTTGTCACAGAGTGCTGCTTGTTCGTCTTAAACACATTTGTGACTGGAGGAAGACTCAGTTGTGCCTGAGAGTGAAAGTACAGAGTTGTCACTGTTTCAATCAAGCGATACGACCTGGAACCCGTCATCCTTGCCCCGTTCTGATCCCTGCCCCGCTGCATCTCGCGTGTTCTTGCCCCTCCTCAGCTTGTCTCTCCAGTTGCGTTGAGTGCTGGTCGGAGAAGACGTGCTGCTGGTGCTGGGAGTCGGAGCAGTGGAGACCGCAGCTCTGGGGATGAAGATTTGGTTTGAGTTGGTTGTGGGAGGCACAGGCGTAGGCGAAGAGAAAATGGCCGGCCGCTGGATGGGTGGTCGGTTGCTTCTCCTCAGGATGCCCAGGGTTCGGGACTGCTTCCTCTGGGCCTGCTCCGCCAGCTGCTGATTCTGCACCTGCTGCTGGAGGATCAGCTGAACATCCTCCTGTGGCGAGAAAAGAACAGGACGTCAGAACACATAGAACACAGATATGTTTGGGAGGAAACACAAGTGATGATGAGACACAGGGATGGCACTAGGGGATAAAGAGTGATCAGAAAAGGGGACAGTAATGTATTTTTCTTTTCTGTTGGTGGGAGGAAAATCTGATTCCTTCAGAGGTTTGTTTGATCCAAAAGGGTTTATTCTGCACACTTTGTCATAAAACCGGTCTTGTCGGTCTTGTGTATTTAAAAAGTAAGGTCTGAAGCAGCCTCTACAGTACGTAAGTAATATAACATGATGCGATACAGTTCTGGTTCAACATTGTAGTTGAGCGTGCCGCTCACCAGATGAGCATGTGCATGAGCCTGAGGCTAAATTTTGAGGCGTGTGTGTGCGCGTGTTTTACAGCTTAACCCATTCTGAGAGAAACGTGTAATTAACACTCATATTTTTCTAGGGCAAATACCAAATGTTCCCATCGTCTGTTGTTTGCTCAGTGTACACCTCTCGTTCACTTTATACATGTGTTGTTGTGCCTCCACCCGGCAACACCTTTGGCACGGAGGCCTGTTTTCCACCCATCCATCACATCCTGAACAGGTCGCCAGCAAATCACAGACACACAACATACAGAGACAAGCAACCATTCACACCTATGGACAATTTAGAGTCTCCACTTTTATCTAACCCCAATTCCACGTGTCTTTGGACTGTGGGAAGAAGCTGGGGAACACCCACACAGACACGGGGAGTACATGAGATCCTGGTCAAACTATGAACAATCTTGCTGTGAGGCACCACCGTGTCAGCTTTCGGCAATAACTCAAGATTTGACCTGCTTATTATCATAAAAAACACTTGTGTCTTCACTACAGTCTTGTCAGACATTGATTTAAACATCAACTTGATTGGCTGGTGGAGACGTACAACTGTTAGTTGCTAGGTATCGTTTTTATCTGATCGAGGTTGAACTCAGATTTACCTTCCAGGCATCAAGCTCCAGCGACAGCTCCAGACGTTTCTGCACGGCCTCCAGCAGCTGGTTGTTCAGTAACATCATCTCTGTCTTACTCCGCAGCAGCTCCGCCTCCATCCCCTTTTTCCTGAGCAGCGGAACAGAAAGAATGACACATTCCTCCAAATAAATAGCATCTGTCAACTTCCCTTTTCCCCCTTAAATCTTGATTCATCTGGTATTTAAAGAAGATGACTGTGTACTCACTTCTCCATGGCCTCATCTCTGTCCCACAGTGCCTGCTGAAGAATGGCACTTTCCTCTCCTCCTCTTCCTCCTCCAGATTTGAACTCCTGAAGGGGCGAGCGAGCAGAGGACACTGGTTATGTTTTATCCCAACTTAAACCTCACTGACTGAACCCTCTCTTATCTCAAATCTAGTCCCTCCATCGCTCACACACCTCGTGACCTTTTCTAAACTGATGAACACTGTAAATACCAGAATGACTGAGATCACTACTGTCACCTGTGAACTTGTCAGACCACATAGCTGAGAGTTAATGCCTGAGTGGAGACGTCAGTAGATCAAGAAAATAATGAGGACGACTTAGTTCTGGGAACACAGGTGTCTCTCACGTGTATTAAAATCTACAGACGGGCCTCAAGGCTTCTTTTAAGGCTTCTAGTATTTAATTACCTTTCTGATAATGACTATCTTTATAGTATATGAGTCATGAAAGCATCTTGAAATAAGGCAGCTACAGTATCAGGTTAATAAAGTCAGAATATGTATAAAAACTTCTACATCTAAATAAAAATCGACCTTTGTCACCTGCTCTGTGTGACAACAACAAGGTACGTGCAAAGCAAACATTCCTCTGAGTGACAGTCCCACTAAAATCAACTCAGACTGAGATTGCAGGAAACTGGTGAGGGTGAGGATCTTTTCTCTGACAGCTCGTGGGTGTTGCCCCGACCTGTTTGGTGTGGCTGATTGCCAGATTTCTGGCCACATTCTGCAGCTGGGCCAGGGCAGCGTCCAGGCAGTTATCGTCCTTAGAGGGCTGGGTTGGGCTGGACTCTGGCTCCATGAGCGGCTGCAGCAGCCGCAGAGCAGACAGGACCTCCTCTGTAACCTGGGACAGAAATGAACAGAGAGAAATTACAGCAATCCACCTGTGTGTGTGTGTGTGTGTG